GAAAAACTATGGAAACTGAAGGAGGAGAGGATTAAAGAATTTTCTGATGTTCAGTCTCAGATACAAAAGATATGTGCAGAAATTGTTGGGGACAGTAAGCACTCGGAGAGTCCAAGTGTTGACGAGACTGATTTATCCCTGAAGAAATTGGAAGAATTTCATGCTCAGCTCCAAGACCTTCAGAAAGAGAAGGTAAGGTCTTTTATCTTACAATGGTTAGCTGCTACAGTTGTGCTGATTTGTAATATCCTTTTTTCTTGATATTGCAGAGTGAAAGGTTGCACAAAGTTCTTGAATTTGTGAGCACCGTACATGATCTTTGTGCTGTCCTTGGCATGGACTTTTTTATGACTGTCACTGAAGTGCATCCAAGCCTGAATGACTCAACAGGTGTACAGTCTAAAAGCATAAGCAATGACACGCTGTCTAGATTGGCAAAAACTGTTTTAGTGCTTAAGGAAGATAAGAAACAGAGGTTACAAAAGGTACCTGCTCAAATCCAAGCTGATCCTTGTGAGAGAAGTTGACACAGATGTTCACCAGCTTAAGCTCAACCTTCTTATATTATGCCATAGCATGTTATCAAATACTGTAGAAAATTTCACTTCATGTAAATCATACTCCTTTGCATTAAAAATAATTTATCAATGCATTAGGATCTTTTAGTGCAGCAGAATCAGTCGTGTGGACACTATCTATATACTGGGGAAACAATTATTTTAACACACACATGGTTTAGAATATATTCACAAGATAAATCTTCACAGTCAAGTCTAACCATTAGTTTAATGATTTTATCTATTGTGTTTTTAATAGGCTTTATTGAAGTTCTCAATGGATTATAGAGAATTAACATGACTATTATTTAGAAAATGCTTATTGTCGTAGATTCCTCTTTACTTGGCTTTCATATCTTTTTGCTTTTTACTATTTGTTGCTTCGAGGTTCATCTTCTCCATGCAAACTAAAGTTGTGTTTTGAATCGTGTTCTTATTTGCAGCTTCAAGAATTAGCAACTCAGCTAATTGATCTTTGGAATTTAATGGACACACCCCAAGAAGAACGAAGCCTATTTGACCATGTTACTTGTAATATTTCAGCTTCAGTGGATGAAGTTTCCATTCCTGGGGCTCTTGCCTTGGACCTCATTGAACAGGTTTCTAGAGTTCTGTACTATTTGAAAGTCAAATTCGTGTGTACAATCAAAATTTTTGTTGATTTAGTCAGTTAAATTCGTGTGTACAACACTATTGTGGTTAATTTAGTCATTTCTGTATTTGTGAAGGCTGAAATAGAAGTTGAAAGGCTTGATCAGCTAAAAGCTAGCAGAATGAAGGAAATTGCTCTGAAGAGGCAGGGTGAGCTAGAAGAGATATTTGCTCGTGCTCACATAGAGATTGATACTGATGCCGCTCGAGAAAAAATCTTGGGACTCATTGATTCAGGGAATGTTGAGCCTGTGGAATTATTGGCTGACATGGACAATCAGATCACAAGAGCAAAAGAAGAGGCTCTGAGCAGAAGGGATATACTGGATAAGGTTGAAAAATGGATGTCAGCTTGTGAAGAAGAAAGCTGGCTTGAAGACTACAATAGGGTAATTATATTTCTATCCTTCTTCACCCTTTGCTCACTCTACGTCGTTCTAAATCTTATGTGCATGTAGGCAGTACTTGAAAACTCAGAAATTTATTTCGCACAAGTATTCACAAACAATACAGAAATGTTGGAAAGTCATTTCTGTATCTGTGATGATAATGTTTCTAGTCACATTACTTTTTAGGATTAGGCAGCCTTCGATTGTGCATATTTTTGTGACAATTCGTTACATACGAGTAATTTAGTTTCATTGTGCATATTTTTGTGACAATTCATTAATCTGCCTGTAATTAAACTGTATTGATTTAGGGTTTAAACTTGATAACTTGTCCAGAATATAAATTAAAATGCTTATGCTAGTGGCTGAATATGATAGTATCTCCTTTTGAGAAATTGGGTGTGATCAATCAATTTTTCTTTACCATGACGTGAATAAGGGGTTGGGGAGGAGAATAAATAGATTGGAAGCATCTTTATATATTGAATCACTATTAACTGCCTTGTTCCTTCTCTAGCAATTGATGTTATGAATCAAATTAATATCAATACGCCAGCTGCAATGAACATTGATTTCTGCAACATCTCTATTTCAATTAGTAATTGACTTCTGGTACGATATCTGCAACATCTCTATTTCAATTAGTAATTGACTTCTGGTATAAATGAAAGCTATCTTCTACAGTTTCAACATTCTTGTAAAGTAAGCCCTTGTTTGGTTTTGATTTTTCACCCAAAAAAATCAATTTTTTTACCGTTACTTCCCCGAGTCAGCCGTCATTTTTGACTTTTTCACTCACGGATGAGACCCATTTGTCTCTCCAACAATCAAAAAATTGATTCTTATAATCATTACCGAACAGGCCCTAAATCTTGATATTGAAATCTTTATTTTTTGTTGTGACTAATTCTTTGATTGGCTAGTTATTACAAAATGGCATGAAAGTAACCTTGCTCTTAAATATTGTGCCACTGATGTTAAATTGGTGAAACAGGATGAGAACAGGTACAATGCTAGCAGAGGTGCACACTTGAATCTGAAGAGAGCCGAAAAGGCACGGATCTTGGTCAATAAAATTCCAGGTATGTGCCAAACTATGAAATATCTTTATGTTCAAATTGATTTACATAATAGATAGCTGGTCTTGTGAAAAGGGAATTAGAAGTTTACGTCTGGAGTACCTTTCACAAGTCATGTTCCAGGGGAGATTGATTTTTTAATTTTAAAATTTTTTGGCTATTGTAGCTCTTGTTGACACCTTGATTGCTAAAACTCGTGCATGGGAGCAAGATCGTGGTATAACATTCACATATGATGGCGTTCCTCTCCTCGCCATGCTAGATGAATATGCAATGCTCAGACAAGATAGAGAAGAGGAGAAAAAGAGGTTGAGGGTAAGTCTCTCTGTCCATTACCGTGTGAGAAGTCTGTTTGGAAAGCCAATCCTTGGAAGTGGAAGCAAGTTACTCTGTGTCAATCACTTCAAACATTATTAACTTCTTGCTTTATTCCTGTATCTGTTACATAAATTCTATTTTATACTTCACAGGATCAGAAAAAGTTCCACGATCAGATGAGTAAAGAACAAGAAGCCATTTTTGGTGCAACACCGAGCCCGGCGCGACAACTTAGTACCAAGAAGGTGGTAGGTCCACGAGCCAATGGAGGCACCAATGGTACTGCAAGCAGACGTCTTTCTCTTAATGCTCATCAAAATGGTTCCAGATCTATAAATAGAGACGGGAAGACCAGACCAGTTGCTCCTGTAAACTATGTCGCCATATCAAAGGAGGACGCAGCATCTCACATTTCTGGGACTGAGCATATTCCAAGTACACCGTAAGTATCTGAAAATAGGAGTATCTGTTTTGTTACTATTTGGTTATCAGCGTAGTTTCTGTAGAACAGTTGTTTGATATATGAGTGATTTAGATTTCAAATTGACGATGGCACTATGGTTGTATGTGGTCGTATAATTTGTAATAATATCAGAATTAAGGCATTAAATAAGTACGTCGGCTATGTACATTTTGGTTTGCTTTGCTAAAATTTAACTATGGATTAGTTAAATAAATGCTCGTTTGAAAGCCTATACCAGAGAAAATTGCTGAAGCACATTAGGCTAACAAGTTGTAAGATTTGCATTTGTGGATCTGGCATGTGGACTAATCCATACGAGGGAAGTTTGATAAAGTAAACCTCAAAACTAGTCTCTGATAGTATTAGTTGGCCCACTCCTTGTTAGTGTTGGCTTATGGTGGTTCACTTCTGCCCATGATAAACCAGTGTCCTTGTTAGTAAAGCCGTTGAGCGGTGCTGGAACGAGGACATGGTTGGCCTACAATATTGTACATGACTAAACATACTTAAAAGGAGAAAAGAAAGTTCAATTTTAGTAGTTTGGTATTGTGCACCAAACTTATACATAGAAACACCAACCTGAGCATTTGGTTCAACCAAATCACTTTTAAGTGCTCCCGTATAGAATTGAAGGATTTTTCCCGAGCATGGGGAAAACTAATATAATTCATACAGAATTTTGAAATGGAAAAATTCAATCCATCTGTGTTTTATGTTTTTTTT